TCTCATTCAACCTCAATTTCACTCCTCCTGCTTTCATCAATTTTTTAATTGCTTTGTTTTCCCGTTCTACACAGCACACCGTACAAAAAAGTCCCACTCAATTATGCCTTGCAATGCCAGGAGGGTTCGCCTTTAATGTAACGAGACTGGCTCGATCCTTCTTCAAAGGAGGAATCTGCCTCTAATATTTATTTTGCCTTCCGGATCATTAAGTCATTAAGTCCAATATTTTTAGTATTCTAATATTGTATTTAAATTGCAGCTGTTTATCTTCTCCAAGTCTTCTCCAAGTCAGTGCGCAGTTATAATTGGCAAGTCAGTTTCACTTTCAAGCCATTTTTCGGCAGCCGCCCTATCTTCTGCTAAAGCTCATAAATCAAAGCAAGTAATTGGTAATAAATTACCTTCTTAGGTTTTCCACGTGCACCAGACTTTCACCTCCCTTTTTGATCCAGAAAGGACAATTATCCATTCATTTTCACTGCTTTTTTGCTATATTTCCACAAGAGCTGGAGGAAAGACGTCTGTTCAACCGGCCATGGTAACTCCGCCCCCCCCTCTCTATATAGTTATGTGAAAAGAAAAGTATGTGGATATCTAGATCAGTGAAGTATTTGGGCAAAAACAATAATAAATATGGATATGTATGGATAACCTACATGGCCTGATTTTAACACATCTTTGTGACATGTACATAAACCATGTCAGAATCAGATGTTGATTCTAAGGTGCACCCAGAAACGGTTCAGAAGGAGTGGGCAGGATAAGAAGCTGTTTTTCAGAAGAGGGAAATAAAAATTGATATTGCGTATACTTTTATTTGGGGTTCCTGATGAATTTTACTTCTAAAGATAATAAAAGATGTGTAAGTCATAAAGCCCACAGTTTTTGATATCAGCATTTTCACGCTGCAATCCTGAACATCCATCTTGTACTAATGTGTCTTCAATATTTGTATTTCATCTGTGAAACAGTTTTTCAGTGACTGTAAGCTACCAAGCCACATTAGTTTTCTTTGCTACTTGTTACCACCATCAACATTTTAGAAAAGGAGTGGCAATGTAAGCCTGGAAATGAAATGACACGGTGTGGAATTCATACAAGTGTACTGCAATTGTACCTCCATGGCTGCGAGTTTGGCTTTTGCAGATTCAATTATTCAGGGATTTGATTAAAGTATTCTCTGTAGGACTACCAAGGTCATTCCAGCGGAGGTTGACCTTAGGGCCAAGCTGGAGAACCTAGATATTCCTTTAGATGGCAAAATTTATATTTGCGGTTTTTCACAGGGTTCCTGCTTAAACCTAACCTGTATTCTACAAGTGGTTTATTTATTAATCATGTAAGACAGGCATGTAGCCTGGGGGGGGGGGGGCTGGGGGGGCTTCAGCCCCCCCCCAATTCTGATGGTGGTCCGTGAGAAGGCCTTACTGGTGCATTATTTAAACTGCTATGTTTATTCATATCATGATCTGATCACTATACTCAATATATCCCATATGCATGGGGGTATTGGGGTAACGATACAAAAGGTTTGCTAGGGTAGACCCTCTTTCACTCAGACTCAGCCCCCACCCCCCCCCCCAAACAAAATCTTGGCTATGGGCCTGATATAAGATAAACTATGAATGCAATATATATATATATAAATTAATTTGCAAATAAAGATGTACCAAGCACCTCTATAAATGTTGGTTTATACCAGTGGTTCTCAACCTGTGGGTCCCCAGGTGTTTTGGTCTTCAACTCCCAGAAATCCTAACAGCTGGTAAACTGGCTGGGATTTCTGGGAGCTGTAGGCCAAAACACCTGGGGACCCACAGGTTGAGAACCACTAGTTTATACCATATGGCAACCATTTCGCTTCTTTGCAGTCCACTCCTAAACTTGATAGAGTTCCATACATTAATGGGACTCTCCAGCAAATACGTTTAGGATTTTAGCTATATTGTTTTGTACATATCTTTCAAGATGCAAAATGTGCAAGGAATTCAAAATAGTCTTTTGATGAAATATCATTCAGAATTCTTATGTATTCTAAATAATTTTTCAAAGACCAGAGGAGCTTATTAGGAATATCTCTATTGTAATACATGCATGAACAAATAATTTCAGCAAATTTCTCCTTCCATCACCAAAATGGGAAGATTTTTTCTGCCCAGAAAGCACAGTTCTCTGTGCCTTGAGAAACACTGTTTCAAATATAATATTGTAGTGTGGTCTGTATCATGTATTGCCAATATGACTGTATAATATGTCAATACAGAAGGAGCAGCATGGCCCAGAATGGTGATGAAATTGCGTCAGAATCTGGGATTTCATAATTTTAATATGTACATTTGATTTCTTTCTAGAAAACAGCTGGTCTAGCGGTATAGAAACATGCCATTGTTTCCTGGAAAATCATCATGGAAGTCTCAGAAAATTACCTTGGACTGGAAAATTGCCTTCATTTGATCAAAAGCTTGCGTATTTAATGAAGTTTTTGCTGATACGTTCTCAGGAGGGTTTTAAAAATGGTGGATAACCTAATTTATTGGACCAATGCCATGTTTTACAATATCACTACAAAAACTAAAGAATGACATCATGGTAAATAACTTCAGGAGATGAAGCTGGAGTAAGCTTGCTTCAAATTTTGAAATTCTAAAAAATGTGCTTACTTTATCAAAACATAAGGCATATTTATGTTACAGATTTAACGCTTGTGTCAAGCCCATTTAAATGTCAGGGCTCCCAACTTAGAAACCCAGCAGGAAGTACAGTTCCCTGGGGAAAATGAGATCTCAATCAACCCACTATTAACAATCCTACAAAAAAAACCTTTTGAGGAAAGCTTATAAAACAAATTTATGTTTGTTGTATGGGTTTGTGCAAATGTTTGACCAGTCTAGATTGAGCTGATGACCTTCCGAAAGAGTTTCCGAGATGTACATGAATAGAGCCTGTTGCCTTTTTATGACATTGCTAATTCATTGTTAGTTTCCTCTTGCTCCTTCCGTCTTTTCCATTTTTCTCTGTTGCCATGTCAATAATACCATTCATGCTAGATACCAATTTGCAATGTAGGGATTGTCCAGAATGTTCATGAAGTGAGTGTTAAACATTATTGCCAGCCTTACTCTTAAATTTGTGTAATGCACTACTTGCAATATTGCTCAACACCCTCATCAAATCTATTATTTTTCCTTTGTTTGGTGGAAAATCTGATATACTTCTGAAGATTTATTTCAAGAATATTAATCATGAATTCATTGTCTTCAGTGTTGTTCCTGTGCAAATTACAAGGGAGTTCTAGGAACAAAGGCAAAATTGATTTCACTTTGCCACATTTATCTTCATGGCCATAGGTTCTTGTATTTAGGCCACAAGGAGTATGATGTGGAGCTGAAAATTATTTAGGACATGTATAATTCCCTCCTATTTGTATGTTCACCTCTAGAGTTTTCTTGAATTCTGATATGACATGGCCCACCGTATATTCAGATGTAATGCAGGTGATGTCTTTTGTGCCAGAATTTTGTGAAGGAATATAACATATATTTATATAGAGCGTATTTAAACAGATAGATGATTTGTATTAATTTAAATTTTTAGATTTTTTTTTTGCTGATCAAGCCCATCAAAATTGTAGTATTACATATGAATATATTATTCATGAATTTTTGAAAGTAAGTGTACATTGAAAGCAAAAATAATGGAGACTAACCCTTGGAGGTGGAGGACGAGTGACTCCAAGAGCACATCATAATCACATTCCATTCTGAAGTTACCTAATATATAATTCCAGCATAGAAATTAGGATTTTATGTGTTTCTATGTGATTAGAATTGCACACATTGCATCTACGCACAACATGCTGCTCTTACCTTTTGCACAATTTAATGAATTAATGTTTCTCATGATGAGCCCTTGTTCTCATCAAAAGTGAAATATTTTGTATGTGATGACCTATGAATGTGATTGCTTACTTAAGAGTGGCTCTGTCTTTTTAATTGACAAGCACTACTTCTGTAATGCAAGTATCTTTTAAATGCGGGTGATATGTTCTGAATTTGATAGCACACTCCAATGTGTCATCAAAAGATGGCTATGCTGCTTTCTGGTCAGGGATCTTTGAATGACTTATTTTGTATAATAAATTCTTGCGCCATTGTGAGTGATGTGTTGTTGCCTTAAACAGAGAATACAATGTATTTTTATATCATTGTTAAGTGTTAAGTTAATACTTTGCTTATCATGGTTTTTTGGTCAGTGCCTGAATAGTAAAATATGTGTATAGGTATGTCTTGCTGTGTGTGTCTATAGAGATAAACTTTTGATATATCTATAGATATATACTGTAGATCTATAGCTATATCTCTCCTATATCTCTAAATATACAGATACATAAAATAAAATAACTATGTAGGTAGGATTACCTTGTTTGAAAAGCCAAAAAAAACAGGACATATTTACCAACTGGTTGCTTCAAACCTCCAATCATTATGACAGCTCTAACTTCAAATACTTTTAAGTACAGAAATTGTAACTTCAATATGTCCTGGAAAAGGATAACATATGGTAACCCTATTAAGAAATAAATACATTGGCCCAATCAAATGTTTTGTGACTTACTCAAGGACATTATTTGGACAAAGTTCTTCCTAGTGCTGTCTTCTTTCCAGTCAACAAGGAAGCAGTCCAATCCAATTCTAACTTATCTCTCACAGTAGATTTAGGAGTTTCCTGTTGCAAGTTATCTTATGCTAACAATTAGGAGAACCGTATGATTGTTCTGACTTTTTCTCCTTAATGAATTTTATGTGGTAAGAAAAAAGACAGAAAAACTGGAAAATGGATGGGGTACAAGTAAAGGACACCATCTTCAAAAGCTGCTGTAAAAGCCAATGGATTAAAGATAATAGTGGTATGATAAAGACATTGTCTATAACCATTCTTTTGTTTCCATTTCTGTCAAAGCAGTGAGCCCCAGCAGTCTTCATAATACCCCTGGTGCCCCGTATAATCATATTTCTCACAGTTTGTCTTACCAATAAGACTTAAACTTAAGCTCCCTTAATTCCATTGACAAACCACACAATCCCATTCAAAATTATAATTAAAATACGACTCCTGTATTTGCAGGATCAGGTCTCATAATTTAATTCATCCATGTCCAACAAAATAGGTCTTCTCTAGGCATTTTCTAGAGAGGACATGTAGTACTCTTGGATGGAAGTCCTTCATTTGGATAAGGCTCACTGTTTAGTGCAGTGGTTCTCAGCCTGTGGGCACCCAGGTCTCTTGGCCTACAACTCCCAGAAATCCCAATCAGTTTACCAGCTGTTAGGATTTCTGGGAGTTGAAGGCCAAAACATCTGGGGACCCACAGGTTAAGACATGTCCAAGAACATGTCTCCCATGAATATAGGGATTGTACTTCTGAATTCCATCTGACAAACCTCCATCAGCTACAAAGGGAGATAAAATAGCCATCAAGTTAAGACATTTTCCTTGAAGCAATCAAACCATGTAAAAGAGAGATTAGTATCTGATGAAACCAGATTATTTATTTATTTATTTATTGTGCTTTAGCAATGGCTTAATTTTTCTTATGCTGTGCCATTTGATGTGCTGCCAAAGTACAAATATGGTAGTTTCTAATAGGAAAATAAGGGTAAATTAGATTAAGACTCTGGGAATGACTGGCTTAACTGTTAGGGATAACAGGGAAAGCAATTAATCTAAGCAAAGTCAGTCAGCCATTCAACTATTGCTTTGCTTGTACTGGACTAGCATTTGTATGTGATAGTTATCTCTGCAGACAGCAGTAGATCTATTTTAGATGCAATATTAAAATGAGCTAATACTTAGCACTGAAGTGCAGTTGTTGCACTGTTTCATACTTTAGTAAGTAAAAGCATGCCGGTTTTGTCCTTGGACATTTTAATGACTGAAATATTCCAAATATGCCCATATTTTTGTGCATGTGTGCAATCTGACATAATAGTAGCCTCGGGTAAAAAATTTAGAGGTTGCATGTGATCTTTCAATTAATTCTGTCTTTGAAAGAGTGGTCAACACAAAGCAGAATTTCTCATTTGTTGGATTTTCAAGTAGAACAAGTACAATGTGGCTTTGCAATCTCCTCTTCTTAGATATTTGCATAAATGCTTAGGATTACTTGAAAACAATAAAGCTTTCCATTGATGTAATGTTATTGTCCATCTGTTTTTTTTCCTTTTAATTGTATTGGAAGGGATATTGTCGTACCTAAGATAAGCTTTCCGAGATTTAGGGTGCATCTGTAGAATTAATAAGGTTGGACATAACTAACTGCTATGGTTCAATACTATGGAAGGTGCTTAGCCTTTTCTGCCTAGAAGTGCTTGTGCCTCATCAAACTACAGCTCGCAATGAATCCACAGCATTGAGTCATTCCCCTTCCCAGGGTGCTGTTCATGGACTGTTCATGGACTGTAATAAAGTTTTGTTGTTGTTGGGTCATGGCAGTTAAAATGGTATCAGATTGTATTACTTCTATAGTGTTGATCAGAGCTTTTTAAACTGTGTGTCATGGCACATTAGTGTGTCAACTACAGTGTGAAGGTGTGTCACACAGACGTAATAATGACAAAAACTCTTGGAAATGTATGTTAACTTATAAATCATATATTTCTCAAAAATATAGAAATGCAAGTTTTTCATGAGATCTTTCGTGTTCCCATCCATATCATTATTACAATTTATGGATGTGTTTGTATCTCTTATAAGGAGTTGATTTAACTTCTAATTTGCAAGTAACACTGAATTACTGAATTACTGTGTCACAGAATGATGCATGTCTAAAAAGCATGTCACCAACCCAATCTGTTTAGAAAATTCTGGGGTAAATGCACACTCAGTCTATTTTCTCTAATAGAAATTAGGATTATAGGTTTTTCTTAGGCAAGAAACACTCGGAGATGGTTTCTCCAGTTCCTTCCTCTGAAATATAACCTGGTATTTGTTGGCAGTTTCTCATCCAGGTATTAACTATGGCTGATTCTGGTTAGCTTCCAAGATCAGATGGAGTGTGGTACCTTTAGGATACTTAGGACTTCTCTGACAGTGCTTCTGTGTCTTTGAAAGAGCTACAGGCTGGATCTAAATTCAGATGGTTCCACTAGTTTCTCCACCAACCCTACCTTCATTCATTCAGTGCCATGTGTGTGCTGTCAAAGTTTTTAAAATGTTGACTAGTAGAACTTGAAGGTGGACAGTCAAAAGAAAATCCCAGTGAGATCTGAAACATTTTATCTGCATGTTTGCTCTATTCTAAGAAATACAGCAGCATGTGATAATATTAATTGTGGTTTTTCTTTGAGGAGCAAAATCTACTATTTCATTTTTAGGGAATAGCAGAACAGAATCTCTTTTGGTTTTGAGATATGAGAGATCAGGTAGAATTAAATTGCAAATGGCAACTTGCAGGCTTGATCTACACTGTCCTATATCCCAGGATCTGAACCCAGAGTATCTTCTTATCCCAGATTATCTGGCAATGTAGACTCATACAACCTAGTACAAAGCAGATATATCAGAGGTCAGATCCTGGGATATAGGGCATTATAGATCCAGCCACAGATGCTTTCCTATTGAGGCTAAACTGAGGAGCTGGAGAAAGTTTGAGGAATCGCCGAAAGCCTCCCATTTCCCCACCCTTTTTCTAATGAATTCCCAGTATTAGTCAACTTCATGCTTAATGGAGTTCTGCTTCCTCTTTGGATCACACTTTTTATTACAAACATATTATAACAGGGCAAAGTACGAAAGAATCCAACTGCTGGCATGCAAATTCGGGATATCAGATTTTATGACACTGCAGGCAACCTGAAACTTCAGATAACTGTACAACTAATTCTACTTTCTGTAGTTTTGAATGAATAAATGATCCAATATTCATTATGTTATGTCTCATTAAATCATTTCCTTATATTATTTTAACAATTGAACTTATAGTTTTAATTTTGCAATATTAATGTATTTTGTTCTAGCAATAACCTACCTGTTGGAATTCAGGAAAAAAACAACAATGTTAAAATACAAAACAACACACCACCACAGTGCCAATTCCTGTCTAGTTTGGGTAATATATGAATTCACTCATGGGTATGGACTATCTCTCTCTCTCAGTATGTGCCCTTTAAAAAAAACTATTATTAGGATCTTCCCATTTTGTTTTGTCTTTTGCGCACATAAGGTAATGAACCATAAAAGTGGAAAATATTTCCTTATTACATTTATATAACATCAAAAAAAAACCCCTTCTTACTCACCCAGGTTGTGTCATGTTATTGTGAGCATTTCCAGATAGAGAATTAGAAGGCAACATGTGACTAGATTTTTTTTGATATGACAAAAAACAACCCCGCCCTGAGTTCCCCCTAAGGGGTTGAAAAGGGCGGGGTAGAAATGCTTTAAATAAATAAATAAATAAATAAATAAATAAAGATGGGTGTATCTATCTACATAGTAGAATGATTATAGTTTGATGTCACTTTATCTTGGATACGATTTAGTCTCTCTGTCAAATACCATGGATGACGCGCCAAACGGAAGCTCCTATGTTTCCATAACATTGAACCATGGTGTTCAAAATGGTATCAAACTGCATTAATTCTACAGTGTAGATGCACCTGCATTTGTGAACAAACAAGGGAAGGTTGTAGCACAGGAGAATTATAGATTCCAGTACAATTCAGTGATTGAGGATAATGGCATAATAAAAGCCTCATCTGGAACATTTGTAAATTTATATTACCAATCTATTTCAAAGATCCACTGTGGTGGTTTGCGCACTCAATTACAACTCTGAAGACTAGCGTTCAATTCCCCCCTTGGCCATGGAAACTCATTGGATGACCTTGTGCAAGTTACACACTTTCAACCTTAGAAAACGCCATGATAAATTTGCCTTAGGGCCCCATAGGTAAAAAATGTCTTGAAGTTGGCCAACTGCAACATTCACACTTGCCATACTGACAAGAGTTCTTTCTCCCGCCCTGGACATTCCACATATATATACCCACTTGCCTAGTTTCCAACATAACTCATAGTGTAGACTCATATAATCCAATTCAAATCAGATAATCTGGATTACCTGTTTTGATAATCTGGATTATATGGCAGTGTAGAAGGGGTCTTAGCATTCTTTATAGGTTTAACTTCAACATTTGATTTCTCATATACTGCAATTGTCTTCTGGTGCAAAAACAACCCAAAAAAGTTAACTTGACCTGTTGATGCCTCTAGGAACAACAAATTATAGCAGAAATTATAGCAAGAAGTATAGAGCTGAAAGAGGCTTTTCTGCCTTTTAATAAACTATGTTAAAAACCTGGATTATTGAACGGTTTTATAACAATCTGTACTAGTGTTGGGACTTTCACTCAAGAGTCTCCAGATGTTTTAGTACTGCAACTCCCAGAACCCTTCACCTAGTGATAGCCATTCTTGGCTATAAACCATCTGGAAGATCATAACTATCCATCACTGCTATTGTTTGTCACCCTTCTTTAGTTGCATGACAACCATAATGGACTCGTGATCATAAAGCGACTGCTCAGTAGATTGAATTTGATTCCAAGCTTCAGAGGAAGTTTTTAGATCTTTTTCCTATGTGGAAAAAGTCCCCAGACTGCATTCCTATAATGTGCTCTTATATATATTACACTTCTCCTTTTACAGTTTTATTATTGCTGATTTATTGTGGGAGAGCCTAGCACACTCAGCTCAGGCTCTTATCAATGGGCGGTCCTTGTTATGCACCTGCCAGGAAATGGTTTAAGGATGAGAAGTGATGGATGAGAAGTGATGGAAACTAAAGGTGAGCTCCATTAACTGCGAAAGTGGTGACGCCCCTTTTATGCAAGAGGTGTGCCTCACCCTGTCCTGTTGATCTAGTTTCATCAAGAGGAGGCAAATGCGCTACCTTTCTCTTCCAGCCATCTCTCTGGCTGCCTTTGTGAAGCCTCTACAAGCTTGTACCTTTTTATTAGGATGGCACTTAAATCAAGCTGCTACTTGCTGCTGCTGTTTCTGTTGTCTGGAGCTCAAGGTGAGTAAGAAAAATTATTAAGAACTTGCCTTTATTAATTTCTTAAAAGGAGGGGTGCTGGAGTGCTTTTTTACACAGTAAGAACACTGTCGGAGACCCTAATAATGACCCTTTATCTATACTCTCTGGGTTGGGGCTTGGAGGTATTGTCCTTCAGTATCTCTGCTCTTTCGCAGAGGGATGATCTCAGAAGCTGGTGCTGGGAGATACCTGTTCGACTCCTTGGCTATTGGCCTGTGGAGTCCCTCAGGATTCAGTCTTCTCCTTTGTGCTATTTAATATCTACATGAAACCACTGGAGACCCTTCCAGGCAGGCCCTATATCTCAGGATCTGATCCTAAGTGTTCTGTTTATCCCAGATTATCTGGCAGTGGGGACTCACATAATCCAGTTTAATGCAGAAAACCTGAGATCAGATCCTGGGAGAGATAGTTCAGAGTTTTGGAGTCAGGTGTCACCAGTATGCTGATGACACCCAACTCTGTTTCTCCTTTCCACCAAATTTCAAGCAAGCTATTCTTGTGCTTATTAATTAATTAATTAATTATATCCCACTTTTCTCCCACAAGTGAGAATCAAAGCGGTAAACAAATAATTAAAAACTCGAAGCTCCGAATCTTTGGCTGTGTGAATTTTGCCAGACCAAGATAGCCTTCAGTGATAGCCATTGGCAGTAATCACTGGCTGCCTATGGGTTGTCGGGGAAGGCCTGCTTCCATAGAAAGGTTTTAACCTGGGAGCAAAAAGCCAGTAAGGAGGGGTCCAAATGCACCTCTTTGGGGAAGGAATTCCAGAGCCACAGGGCCACTACCGAGAAGGCTGTCTCTCTCGTTCTCACCAGCCATACTTGTGATGGTGGTGGGACCGAGAAAAGGGGCTCTCCTGATGATCTCAGGGTTCGTGATGGCTGATAGGAGGAGATGCTAAACAGATGCCTGGCAACTGGATGAGGTCAAACAAACTGAAGCTTAATTTAGAGGTGCTCCTAGGGCACTTCCACACAACCATATAACCCAGAATATCAAGGCAGATAATCCACAATATCTGCTCTGAACTGGATTATCTGAGTCCACACTGCCATATAATCCAGTTCAATGTGGATTTTATACAGCTGTGTGGAAGGGGTTCTAGTCAGTTGAAAGACAGATCTGAGGATAGAGGTTCAGCCTGTGTTGGATGGGGTTTACTCTCCCTTGAACATGCAGGTTCACAGTCTGATTTCCTAGATTTGCGCCTGAAGGCTCAGGTTTCACCAGGAGTGCTTTTCCACAGTTCAGGTTAGTGTGCCAACTGTGCCTGTCCCTAGAGAAGTCAGCTCTGGCCACAGTGGTACATGTCTTGGTGAAAACTCATTTGTATTACTGTAATACACTGTATGTTGAGCTGCCTTAAAATTTCTCAGAATCCTCTGTTGGTCCAAAGAGTAGCACCCAGGTTATTACAGGGACTAGCTATAGGGAGCACACAATTCCTTTGTTGTAACAGTTGCATTGGCTGCCTCTTCATTTCCGGGCTGAATTCAAAGAGCAATGGACTGATATTGTAAAATATACGATCGAAGATGCCCAAGCAACGGCTGCCCTGGCCTGGAAAGAGCAAAGAAAACAGGAAATAAAAATGGTTCAAATACTGAGCGGATTATATGCTTCAGGACTAGATTTCTGAAAGAAAAATCAAATACATGAATAGTCATTCTAATGAGAACAGGGATTCAAAATGGAAAACACTGATAGTCAGAGTTAAAGGGAAAAGAAAATATAAGAAACTACAACAGACTCAATCAATTAAATCAATCAATTAAAATAATACTGGAAATAGAAATACAACTTTCTCGGAAGGTAGGAGTGAAAGAGAAAGGGAGGGTGTTAAACTGATTGATATAAGTAATAGATATGTATGGAAATGGAAAAGTCTAGAGAATAGGATATACCAAAAATAATGAGAATTTAATGGAATATCGTCTGTTTATTTCTCCTGACTTTTCAGTGATGTGATTGTCAAATGTGATATCCTACATCAATAAAAAATTAAATTCAAAGTCCTGGTTTTAACCTGTAAAGCTCTATATGGCTTGGGTCACATTTGAAGAACCTTATTGCCCTTTATGAGCCCAGTAGAGTTCCACAATCATCTGGAGAGGGTCTTATCTCTGGGCCCTTCCACACAGCCATATAACCCAGGATATCAAGGCAGAAAATCCCACAATATCTGCTTTGAATTGAGTTATCTTGGGTCCACACTGCCATATAATCCAGTTCAAAGCAGATATTGTGGGATTTCCTGCCTTGATATTCTGGGTTAAGGGCCCGCTGTCTGACAAGAAAAAGAAAGAGGGTCTTCTCAGAGCCCTTCCAAACCGGCCCTATATCCCAGGATCTAATCCCATGTTTTCTGCTTTAAACTGGATTATATGTGTCTGTACTGCCAAATAATCTGGGATAAACAGATAAAAATCAGATCCAGGGATATAGGGCCTGTTTGAGGGTCCTTCCACACAGCCCTATACTCCAGAATATCAAGGCAGAAAATCCCACAATATCTGCTTTGAAATAGGTTATTTGAGTCCACAGATGTGGGATTTCCTGCGTTGATATTCTGGGATCTAGGGCTGTGTGGAAGGGCCCTGAAGGGGACCTCGATGCCTACTCTGTGATGTATAGAGGAGCAATATAGACTGATTCTATAACTTATTTTGAATGCCTAATTGAACTATTAGAGACAGGCATGTAGCCGGGGGGGGGGGGGCTTGGGGGGCTTCAGCCCCCCCCCCCCCAAATTCTCATGGTGGTCTGTGAAAAGGCCTTACTGGTACATTATTTAAAGTGTTATGTTTATTCATATCATGATCTGATCACCATGCTCAATATATCTCATATGCATGGGGGTATTGGGGTAAGGTAACGATACAAAACGTTTGCTAGGGTAGACCCTCTTTCACTCAGACTCAGCTCCCCCCCCCAATCAAAATCCTGCCTATGGGCCTGATTAGAGATAATCAGGATTATTAGGTAAAAAAAGAAAAGGGCCTGTACCTTTAATACTTGTTCAGGTGGGGAAATTTAAGTACAGTATATTCTGGCGTATAAGACTACTTTTTAACCCAAGAAAATCTTCTCAAAAGTCAGGGGTCGTCTTATACGCGGGTGTAGTTTTATGCATGGGAGTCGTCTTAACTCTATATTTTAACTGGAAAATTTGGGGGTCGTCTTATACGCCCAGTTGTCTTATATGCCGGAATATACGGTAGCTGTTGGTGTCATGCAAGCAATACCTTTTAAGATTCCTTCTTTTGGACAACCAAAAAGGCACTAAAACCCTGTCCCTTATTCCATCTGGCAACTGCAGAATTCTTCAGGTTCTATTTTGTTACTACAGCTGCTGCCTAGAAACTAATTTTTATCATGGAAACTACTTTTCTTTAACAAATACTGGGTTTCTGTAGTGAGACTCAAAACACCAGGTGATCAGTATGGAAAAAAGTAAATAGTGCTAAAGTCCTCTGACAAAGGCATGGAATCTGGACTATGACTCAATAGCTTCGGACTGTAAGGGAAAGCTGCTATAAAACATCCACTTATCTCTAATATAAGGCATCTTTTTACTAAATTGTAAACTGTTTTTGAAGCTAATCTTGCTCCCAAAGCAAAGTGTAATTATGCCCAATAAAATGATAGTAAGTCTCCCAGAAAATGGGTTAAATTCAGCCAAGTGTGACTTGGTAATGGACCCTAATAGTTAGCAGGCAAAACATTGGGCACTATGGGATTGATTTATATGACAGAGAAATTCATTTTATGTCTTAGTTTCTAAAGACTAACACTTCGGGGGAAAATAGGTATGTGCTTAAGTGGGCAGTGTTGGTGTATGTTTATTTTGTACATGGCTTTCATTCTGTTTACTCTTCTTCCAAATAGTGTTTTTATTCCAAAAAGCATAAAGTAGGACTCAGAAAAATGCCAAGCACTCCAAAGGGTGTAAACTGCTATTTGGAAATACAATAGAGTCTCGCTTATCCAACATAATCGGGCCAGCAGAACATTGGATAAACGAAAATGTTGGATAATGAGAGATTAAGGAAAAGCCTATTAAACCTCGAATTATGTTATGATTTTACAAATTAAGCACCAAAACATCGTGTTTTACAACAAATTGACAGAAAAAGCAGTTCAATACATGGTAACGTTATGTAGTAATTACTGTATTTACGAATTTAGCACCAAAACATTGCAATGTATTGACACAGCTGTGGATCCGGACAGGAGGCAGACTGAGTTGTATAATACAGAACATTGAATGAGCAAAGGTTGGATAGGCAAGACTCTACTGTATGTGCATTTAATACTTCAGTTATGATCGGAATGGAGGGGAATTGAGAGAAGTGCATCATATAATGTATACAGTATGTAATGGAGGTGGATGGGAATTCAGTATGCCCCAGTGGGCAATATTTTGGCATTCTTCAGTTCTTCAGTATTGACCTAGTACAGTCTGCTACATGATCAAAGGCCACCCCTCTGTAGTCAGTCTGCTTCCTGCTATCCTTGACAAAGCAACTCCAAGGATCAGTCATTTGGATGAATGTCTTGTTAAGGAAAATAGCACCAAGGCTTCCGAATTTCCTGCTTCAAAAACTCCTTTCTCCCTTTATCTCCAGGTGATTGCCCTGCTCCAGAAACCCCGCCCCATGCTGAGCTGGTCGGAGACATAAAAGAGAGTTACCCTGTCGGGACTACTCTGAGATACAACTGCATCCCAGGTTATCAATTCATACTTGGAACAATTCCTACTATTAAATGCCTTGAGGATTCAACATGGTCCCAAACGCCTGCATTTTGTGAACGTAAGCATCTTTTCCCAGTTTTATTATGTCAACAAATGTTGCTCTCAAGAAGTCTTGATCAAAATATGCACAACAGTCAGAATTGTTTTGTTGATTTGTTTTCAGTCTGTGTCTTATACAGAAAGTCCAGAAAGCTGTAGAAGTGTGGCACAACGTGTGACTTTGTATAAACAACTGAATATGTAAAATGATAGTTTTAGTGTAGATTCCAATTATCCATCAGAATGTTTCATGTAGACTGAGTGTCTTCAAAAATGAAGAAATAATACAACAAAAATACACATTTCTGTTGTAGAATCTTGGGAGCTTAAAATGTGAAGAAGTCATATTCTGAACACCATAGCTCCCAATAGCAAAGTACTATTGATCTTGTACTAAGAAAACACAGAGACATACAATCAAATTTCTGTATCCATCTTATCAGATTAAAGAATTAAGATCTATCGTGAGATTTCAGTTTTGAGCTAAGCTTTACAGAATAGCTCACAATGTATTGTTGTTGCATAAAGAAAAAATCCCCCATGGCTGTTGATGAAATTATATAGTTAAGGCCCATATGCTGTCCCTGAAACAAAGTATGCAATAATAATTGAGAACAGGGGGCACTTCACGCCTTCTGTAATCAGCATTGGTTTGTAAAAGATGAGCGGTTTCCATTTTTGAACTTTCATTTTCCTGCAGACACCTGAATATTGAGAATATAATGTATGAGTCATCTGTAGGTAGATTTTGCAGGATGAACACAGGACAGGGCTTTTGCATTCCAGCAGATGGAGCTACACAACATTTTCTCCCTCACCTCTCCAAATGTACCTTTCAGTGGTTCTCAACCTGGGGTCCCCAGATGCTTTTGGCCTACAACTCCCAGAAATCCCAGCCAGTTTACCAGCTGTTAGGTTTTCTGGGAGTTGAAAGCCAAAAACATATGGGGACCCCAGGTTGAGAAGCACTAGTTCCTCCATTCCTGCCCCAACACAGCCATTTGGATATTGCAGGAGACAAATGAAGAAACAACCAGCTACTTTTCTATAGCTGGACACATAGCAACAACATTGTCCTGCAGTGCTGTGTGCCCAGCTATAGGAACATAGCTATTATAGGAATACATTGTTCTTTAGTGTGGAATATTCTACTATTATTCCCTCCAACTCTAGTTCAACCACAATCTTGTTGTAGGGGTGAGGGGGAAGATGCAGCAGCTAAAAACATAGTTTTTTAATGACACTTTACACTATTTCTTCTTTACAATTTAGAGACAGACAGACAGACAGAAAGATAAACAGTTTTGGATAGCACTGGGAAGGGTTAACACCCCTGTGGTGTTTGTTTTGCTATCTGTGCCTGCTCAGAAGATTCCACCTCACTTTCTGTCCTTGTGATAATTGGATTTTGAAAAAAATGTATTTGGTAATTTTAGCTCTAATTTTATTTTTAGTAAAGCGATGTAAGGCTCCAGATTTACCGAATGGCAAAATAGAAGGTTCAGACAAACTCGAAATTGGTGACGAAATAACTTTTGTTTGTAATTATGGGTAAGTTGCGGATCACTTGCTATAACAACTTCACTTTGCGTAAAATTCCTGGGAATTTGACACTTAAATTTTTTATACCATTAGATCTTGGTATTTTGTCATAAAGCATAACACCCTTTCCAAGGCAACCTGCAAGTAAATTCAAAATATATTATTACAATTGTGCTCAGGGAACATGAAAATATAATTCATCAGAATTCTTTTTAATGGCATGTGGTTTTAAAGGCACGTAGTGTTTGGGTGGAAGTGGGAAAGTGAGAGGGCTTTGATGTTTGATTTGCTTTGATTTCTTGCTCCTACCAGAAACTGAGACTAGACTTTATTCTTAATTGCTTTCCTTACTTGGTTGTGGAGATTCACGTCTGACATTTCAGACAAGCCAGGTAGATTATTGCTTTGTTTTATTCATATTGGGATTTTGAGGATTGTACTCTCCATAAACAGAGTCCCAGAAGAACTATGGACAGAAGTCCGCGACATTGTTCAGGAGGCGGCAACAAAGTACATCCCAAAGAAAAAGAAAACCAAGAAGGCAAAATGGTTGTCTGCTGAGACACTGGAAGTAGCCAAAGAAAGGAGGAAAGCAAAAGGAAACAGTGAAAAGGGGAGATATGCCCAGTTAAATGCGCAATTCCAGAGGTTAGCCAGAAGAGATAAGGAACTATTTTTAAACAAACAGTGCATGGAAGTGGAAGAAGACAACAGAATAGGAAGGACAAGAGACCTCTTCCAGAAAATTAGAAACATTGGAGGTAAATTTCAGGCAAAAATTGGTATGATAAGAAACAAAGATGGCAGGGACCTAACAGAAGCTGAAGAGATCAAGCGAAGGTGGCAAGACTATACAGAAGATCTGTATAGGAAGGATAATAATATTGAGGATAGTTTTGACGGTGTGGTGAATGAATTAGAACCAGACATCCTGAGGAGTGAGGTTGAATGGGCCTTAAGAAGCATTGCTAACAACAAGGCAGCAGGAGACGACGAGATCCCAGCTGAACTGTTTAAAATCTTAAAAGATGATGATGTCAAGGTGATGCATGCCATATGCCAGCAAATATGGAAAACACAAGAATGGCCATCAGACTGGAAAAAATCAACTTATATCCCCATACCAAAAAAGGGAAATGCGAAAGACTGCTCAAACTTCCGTACAGTGGCCCTTATTTCTCATGCCAGTAAGGTAATGCTCAAGATCCTGCAAGGAAGACTCCAGAAATACATGGAGCGAGAGTTGCCAGATGTTCAAGCTGGGTTTAGAAAAGGCAGAGGAACGAGAGACCAGATTGCCAATATCCGCTGGATAATGGAGAAAGGCAGGGAGTTTCAGAAAAACATCTATTTCTGCTTCATCGACTATTCTAAAGCCTTTGACTGTGTGGATCATAATAAATTGTGGCAAGTTCTTGGAGGGATGGGCATACCAAGCCACCTTGTCTCTCTCCTGAGGAATCTGTACAAGGACCAAGTAGCAACAGTCAGAACTGACCACGGAACAACAGACTGGTTCAAGATTGGGAAAGGCGTACGGCAAGGCTGCATACTCTCACCCTACATATTCAACTTGTATGCAGAACACATCAGGCGACGTGTGGGGCTTGATGAATCCAAGGCTGGAGTAAAAATTGCTGGATGAAACATTAACAACCTTAGATATGCAGATGATACCACATTGATGGGCAAAAGCAAGGAGGAAGTGAGGAGCCTTCTAATCAAGGTGAAAGAAGAAAGCGCAAAAGCCGGGTTGCAGCTAAACATCAAAAAAACCAAGATTATGGCAACAAGAATGATTGACAACTGGGAAATAGAGGGAGAAAACGTGGAGGCCGTGACAGACTTTGTATTTCTAGGTGCAAAGATTACTGCAGATGCAGACTGTAGCCAGGAAATCAGAAGACGCTTATGTCCAGTCTTGATAAAATAGTAAAGAGTAGAGACATCACACTGGCAACAAAGATCCACCTAGTCAAAGCCATGGTATTCCCTGTAGTAACCTACGGATGTGAGAGCTGGACCTTAGGGAAGGCTGAGCGAAGGAAGATAGATGCTTTTGAACTGTGGTGTTGGAGGAAAGTTGAGAGTGCCTTGGACTGCGAGAAGATCCAACCAGTCCATCATCCAGGAAATAAAGCCCGACTGCTCATTGGAGGGAAGGATACTAGAGACAAAGTTGAAGTACTTTGGCCACATCATGAGGAGACAGCAAAGCCTAGAGAAGACAATTATGCTGGGGAAAGTGGAAGGCAAAAGGAAGAGGGGCCGACCAAGGGCAAGAAGGATGGATGGCATCCTTGAAGTGACTGGACTGACCTTGAAGGAGCTGGGGGTGGTGACGGCCGACAGGAAGCTCTGGCGTGGACTGGTCCATGAGGTCACGAAGAGTCGGAGACGACTGAACGAATGAACAACAACAACTCTCCATAATTGTTGGAGTCGTAATTGACTGTCTTGAGACAAATACACATGCAGACATACTGAAACTTTGATCTGTTAAAGCAATAATTAAAATTCCCAAGGTTTTAAAATACATATATTCTCCTCTCTTGCAATTTCTAAAGGAATAAAGAGTGCAAATCGGTCCCCTCTTGTGCGACATTGTGGTGATGGCAGTTGGACTAGTTGAACAGTCTAAACAGAGGCTGAGATTTCACTCTACTTCTGCCCACTTTACCATCTATAAAAACAAAGGTCTGCCTCCCCTTTTTGCCCACTCAGGCGACAGTTTTGTCCATAGCTACCCACTGGGATGCTGCTGTCTATATATTTTGCCAAAGGAAATGCCACCTTCAGGATTAAGGCAAATATTCTCCTGTTCCCTGTCCGAAAGCACCCTATGGATCCATGCCTTCACTCTTCCCTTTATTTTGATATTCCTATAGTTGGTGGGAAATCAGGAATAATAAACATTGAAATCCAGCTCTCTGAAATGTGCGAGTTTTGTAATCTATTACCCAAACTCATTAATGAGAATGTTGTTGCTGTGGGGACTTTGTTAGGGTTGGCATGTGCTTTTTTTAAAATGCCAGGCCAGTAACTAAAATTAAGTTAATGGATAGCTTGTCTGAACCAAGGCTGCCATTTGTTGCTTATTTCAATGTAGACGATTTCCTGGCATTGTCTTCTACATTTTTGAGGCACCAGGCAAAGATCTTTTTCAAAATAGTGTATTTCTTCAATTGTAAGATGCCATCGATTGTATCGAATTCATTTCAATACAACTATCACAAAAAATACATAAGGTACACCTGTGATTCTTTTTGAAATGTTTAGGGGAAAATGAGACTTAGAATTAAAGAAATATAGTATATATTTTCCATGTTTTTTTCATCAACTCTATATATATTTCATCATGTCAGAAGAGACCACAGTGGGAAGAGAACCCAATATAAGCATTACATTATTGTGAAGTTTCAATACCATCCAATATATAATAATCTATTCTTCTGTCAAACAGTTGTTGCTCTCAGGATGTTCTTCTAATGTTTAGCTTGAATCTCCTTTCTTAAAATTTCTGTCTGCTACTGAAGGGAAACCAGTTTGCTCAACCTGCCACAAGATGGCCCTTCAAATATTAAAATGTGATACTATTATGTTTACCATCTCTTCTACTAGCTAAACATGCCAAGTTCCCTGTGGGTCCGTCCCCCCCCCCCCCAAGTGGGCTTGCTTTCCAGATCCCTCACCCTCTTGCTGAGCCTCAACTGGACATGTTTTATCTTGTGATATGATGTTCTCTGTTTTGTTTAATGTTTTTGAACTATTTTATATTTATGTAAGGGAATTATAAAACATCGATGTACTTAGGTGATCCCTCATAGTTCGAGGATGATTGTCCTCCAAATGTGGTGTCCTGGCAGTAAGTCCGTAGGTGACTGTGGAGCCCTATTCTTGATCTGCATGTTCTCCCGCAGTGAGGGCATTGGTTTCCAGATGGAAGGTGGTCCTGGTCAGGGTTGGCTTGACATGCCTTGCTCTTGGCATGTTTCTCTCTTTCATCCTCCATTCATGCCTCTTTTAATTCTGCAACACTGCTGGTCACAGCTGACCTTCAGTTAGAGCTCTCAAGGGCCAGGGCTTCCCTGTTCTCAGTATACTTGCTACAGTTTTTAAGGTTGGCTTTAAGCCCATATTTAAATCTCTTTTCCTGTCCAACATTATGCTTCTTGTTCTTGAGTTCGAAGTAGAGTAACTGCTTTGGGAGACTGTGATCAGGCATCCAGGAGACTGCGATCAGGCACAGGTGTACCTTATGTATCCAGACAATGTGGCCAACCCAGCGGAGTTGATGGTGGAGGAGCATAGCTGACATTTGTCCATCTGTCTTCCCAAGAGATTTGCAGGAGTTTTCGGAGGCAGCGCTGATGGAATCGTTCCAGGAGTTGCATGTGATGTCTGTAGATAGTCCACATTTTGCAGGCATATAGCAGGATTGGGAGAACAATGGCTTTATAAACAAGCACCTTGGTATCCCTACGGATGTCCCGGTCCTCAAACACTCTATGCTTCATTTAGAAAAATGCTGCACTCATAGAGTTCAGGCAGTGTTGCATTTCAGTGTCAATGTTTATTTTTGTGGATAGGTGGCTGCCATGGTAGCAGAAATGGTCAACATTTTCTAATGTTACACCATTAAGCTGTATTTCTGGCATTGCAGAGGGATTGGCTGGTTCCTGCTGGAAGAGCACTTTGGTTTTCTTGATGTTCAATGAGAGGCCGAGTTTCACGTATGCTTCTGCAAAGCTGTTTAGAGTGGCTTGTAGGTCGTCTTCTGAATGCGCACAGACGTTGTCATCAGCAATGTACAACAGATATGATGTCAATACATTAAATCATGCACTACAAGCTATCTTGTGTTTGCACACTCTTTCTGTTCACTAATATCTAGTATTTTTTTTATTTTCTTAGGTACAACTTAGTGGGGTCCAGTACTGCTCTTTGTGTTTTGTTGGCAGACAACAGGGCTGAATGGGATAAATCCCCTCCATTGTGTGATAGTAAGATATTTTTTTAAAATTTGTTAGCTTCTGTCTTAATATACTTTAGCATGACATTTGTACTGCAAATATTTTAATCTGTCCATACTTAGGATAGTAAAAAATATGGACCTCCGTATCTTCTTTCATATCTGTCCTTACCTCTTGCCACTCACAACCATGTACAATATCCAACATGCCTTCTAGAAATTGAAGTCCAATATATTGGCCATAATTGTTGTAGCCAACACCCTTATTCTCCTTACAATTTTTGCTAAAGCAGGAAAACTGACTGCTCAAGTGAGGCCAGCCTTGTTTTCAAAACAATATATGATGGGAATTATTAGGCAGCATCATATGGAATAAGATGAAAGGCATTTGTATTCCTTCTGTCACCCTACAATTTTTAAGAAATTGGGACATTCCTTTAAACTGGGGTGGGGGGGGGAGAGAAGCATGAATCTGTTCTTGAAATCCATCAGCTAATTCCTGACTTAAAATGTAATAACAGTCTCATATTGAATCCAGTTTAATTCAAAAGTTGATTTTACTTCATTGCGAACAAAATAAAACACCCACAATGTGATATGGTTATGTTAGATGATGATGATGATGATGATGATGATGATGATAAACTTTATTTATATTCCGCCCTATCTTATCTCCCCAGGACTCAGGAAGGATTCCAAGATACAATGGCAAACATTCAATGCCTCCATAAATAAACAAGTACCAACATTATAACCCCAGAAAAACTCCACATTAGAACCTAACATCAATAAATTAAATCAAACCTAATCAAACTAAAATTATATAATTAATCTGAACATAAAACATTCACATTAATTTACAGAAGCCAACTATCGTTTGGAAATTGTGTGGGTTGGTGCATTGTCGAAGGCTTTCATGGCCAGAATCACTGGGTTGTTGTAGGTTTTTTGGGCTGTATGGCCATGTTCTAGATGCATTCACTCCTGATGTTTCGCCGCTATCTATGGCAAGTATCCTCAGAGGTTGTGAGGTCTGCTGGAAACTAGGAAAGCTGGGTTTATATATCTGTGGAATGTCCAGGGTGGGAGAAGGAACTCTTGTCTGCTGGAGCTACAGACCTCACAACCTCTAAGGATGCCTGCCATAGATGCAGAGAAAACTTCAGGAGAGAATGCTTCAAGAGCATGGCCATACACCCCGAAAAACCTATAACAACCCTGTATGGGATGGTTTTGTGACCAGAGTGGTTGCATGGCCAGTGATGGCAACTTGGCTAACATGGACTAGCAAAGCCCAAGTATGAGCTAGTTCTCAACCAGAGATTCAATAGTCATCTCTCATTGTCTAATCTTCCTGCTCTCTGTATGCTAGTGAGCAATGTTCAGTCTGAGTCTGATGGGGTTATTGTTATGTGCCCTCAAATTGGCTCCTACCTGTGGTGACTGACAGGCCCACATAAATGGTTACCTTGCTCCCACATCACCCTCCTTCATATCACTTCACTTCCTAACTCTGCCAAATTTATTAATAGCAATAGCAACACTCCACCCCCTCATGAACCCAGATAAAACAAAGCCTGAAATTATACAAAACATCCTAATGTTAAAATGAACATTATGAAATATCACTTTAGATTTGCTTATTGTAAGATCATGTACTGATGGCGTTGGAGGAGCGCTAGTCAGAATAGTGGACTTGGATTCATTCCTTTACCAGCTTCAGGAAAACAAGTCTAGAATGCTTGTCCTTCAAGCATCTGAGAAAGTAGACAAAGTCTCAGGAAGTTCATGCAAGTCTTTTTTTTCCCAGTCAGTCTCAAGTGTTACAAGGTCCCTTTGTATACAGTACCGATATTTCAAACTAATATGACTTTGTCTTTGAAGGTTACAATGGATTACAACTGTGTTCATTTCTTGTAAATTGCCCTGCCATGACACGTTGCCTAACTCTTTCTAGTGATAGGACCAGCTCTCTTCCTCAGCATGCTTTGGACAACAGTTGAAGCAACTATGCTGTCTGTTATGACCTAATAGAAGATATTTCACTTTTGATGGCCAGCAAGGGCTTATTCCCCCTGTAAACCATGAAGAATCAGAGCAGGGGGGAAGAAGTCTAGAGAAACTTTGCTTACTTACTAAAATGGAATTGGAGTTGGACTTGGAGGCATTCTGCTGAGTTCCTTTTGCTATCTGTCTCTAGCCTCACTAAATCACTTTCCTTTCCTCTTTGGAGTTCACTCTATCTCTCTTTGATAGTCTCCTACTGAAAGTTGGAGAATCTGCAATATCTCAGGATCTTTGGAAGTGGAAATGATCTGTTCTGATTGGGTCTCAAAGAAGTATCTAGTCACATTGGCTCAATTTCTTTTAGCAACACAATTTAAATAATCCTGCCCAGTGCTCAGAAAAAATACTATTTTGGACTACAAATTCCAGAATTCCCAATCCAATAAGGGAGCACAACTTCAGAGTTTCAAAGGAAAAAAAGTAATTATTTTTAATTTTCCTACTGGAATTAAACGATTTGACTTTACTGCCATTAGAAAGCATCCATAGTGTACAGTACATTGCTGAGACTTCACACGGTGTTTTAGTGACAGTAATTTCAGTCCTAACAACGAAGTTCTAGTGTATGTGAACTGTGAATTTGTATTCTCTTCCCCAGTAATCCAGTGTGAGCGTCCTCCCAACATTGCCAATGGAATGCATAATGGAGATGTATCCCTCGATCACTATACTGTTAGTACAGTGATAAAATACACTTGTAACAAGGACTTTTCCCTTATTGGAGATCAAAGCCTTACTTGTATAGTGGCAGAAGATGGTGCAAATGGAAAGTGGGATAAATCTCCACCTGAGTGTAAAGGTAATGGATATTCTTGTTCCATTAAATAAGTATTTATTTATTTCTCGTATCAGAAGCAGCCAGACAGATTGTATTACATTTTAACAAAACAAACAGACAAAACACAAAGTTTGCAAGCTTGTTAGTTGATTAAATGCCCTTTAACCAGGATCTGGCCACTTGGAGTGCCTCTGGTGTTGCTGTAAGAAGGACCTCCATTGTGCATGTGGCAGGGCTCAGGTTGCATTGCAGAAGGTGGTCAGTGGTTTGCTCTTCCCCACACTCGCATGTCGAGGATTCCACTTTGTAACCCCATTTCTTAAGATTGGCTCTGCATCTCGTGGTGCCAGAGTGCAGTCTGTTCAGCGCCTTCCAAGTCGCCCAGTTTTCTGTGTGCCCAGGGGGGAGTCTCTCATTTGGTATCAGCCATTGATTGAGGTTCTGAGTTTGAGCCTGCCACTTTTGGACTCCGGCTTGCTGGGGTGTTCCAGCGAGTGTCTCTGTAGATCTTAGAAAACTATTTCTTGATTTACATTAAAGAAGTATTTTATGTAAACAAATCCTGCCTGAAGAAGTAGATAGTCAGCCTCCACATTCACTGGAATTAGGGGTGCAGGACTCCTATCAAAGTGGTGAAAACTATGAATGAAAAAGCTGCTTTTTATTGAAAATAACACCCCTATAGGAATCTGTAGGTCCGTCTGTGCAACCCAATGGTCATATCCTACAGAAGTTGACCATAGAGTCACTCTTGAGGACTGAGAGATTTGTAGTGAGACCATACTAATCAAATCTATGAATAGTAAAATCCACAAACCTTAGGCCCATAAATGTTGAGGGCCGACTGTATCCGCTGATGCTCCCATCTCCAATGTTAGTGACAAAATTTAGATGTAATTGCTTGATTTCTTCCCATTTCCATTGAACCTGATTCTAGTTAGCCTTAGCAGTATTGATGCTTGAAGAGGAGTGGAGAATAAATATGATGGAGCTGTTTACCTCCCTGAAGTATCAGGATTGCGTTTAGTGGTTCTCACATACAGATGTCTTATATTCTGGTGGGGAAGAAACACTTTCTCATTCACTGTTGATATTCTCTTCCCAGTGGTCCGGTGTAGCAGGCCAGAAATTGAAAATGGAACGCTGACAAGTTCATTTCAGCCTTCATACAACTATAATCATACCCTACAGTTTACATGTAACCTTGGATATAAACCGGAGGGAAGCAATTCTATAACTTGTGGGGCTGACAGCACATGGAAACCTAAATTTCCCACATGTGTCAAGGGTATGTGTTTTCTGTTATATATATGTAGAGCTTGTCTCCAAAACCAAATCCATCTGTATACATTTTACAGGAATCAAAACAGGTGTGCATTCATTTGTTATAAAATGCAATTTTCCAAACACTGTACCAAAGTGATTTGATACATTCTGATCTGTATATAATAATCTCCTCCTAACCAACAAAGTTCTGCCACCTATAACTCATTTTTAGGACTCCTTTTGGATTTGGTGCCTTTTGGAAATAAACTCCACATTTGAATTTCAGAAGAGTTATGGAGTTCTTTAAGCCCATCTCTTTAGAGCTAAACACTGAAATTACACTCCTTTCCCCCTTTTTTGGCCAGAAACTGTCACCGCCCGGCCCAGCCCTACACTCACCTCTCATACAGAAGGAGATAAGAAAAACGAGACTTCAGGTAAGTTACAACATGTTGGGACTGGTAATAAGGTATGCACGTATGCAACGCGTAAACATACTGTTCCACAGCGCAACCAAATTATTTGGTTCCTGTGGATTCCTTAATGTAGAGTCTTTAAAAAAACTTCACCTAGTGTACTATCAATAATGGAGTGAAAGGCATGTGTGTACATTAATGTTTATGCACGAAATGTGGAATTCTAAGTGTTAATCATGGAGGAGCAAATTTTTGCACAACGTAAGAGATCAAAAACTGTTCTGAAACAGGCCCAACTGAGCACGACAACCTTAGCTTTCATTTTTTGGCTAGCAAGGACTTCATCCCATGCAATAAGTAAAGTGTTGGCGATTGTTGTTTTCCTCTTAAGCTTCACAATGCCATTTGGAAATTAAATGATTTTTCTACCCGCATCACAGCTTTCTTTTCAAATTATCTGTTTGCCCTTCCAATTACATAGAAGACATTCTCCTTCCACTGTCTCCATTTTTTTTTACTTGAAGAAATCCTGTGTTTTATTTTTTAACACGAGATCATTAAATGAATTTTCTTCTATTCTATATTACAATTTATAAGTACAGATACTTCTCAATTTGAAAGGTAACTTTGTTGAATTTACATTATTAAAAAAATAAAAATTGCACTTCCTTCCTCCTCAGTTCTGAAGATCATGGCAGAAGAAAAGATTATATTCTGCCCATTCCATCTCCTCCCTCCAGAATCATGTCATTGTTATCGCTACAAGCGGACAATGGGGAATTCCCATCACACACTAAATTTTATGTTTTTACACATATCTACATGAGGAATTAAAAAAGAAGTTGATTGCCAATCGACTTAGGAAGCATAGGGAAAAAATACACTTTAGTAATGGCGAAATACATGGAATCCATGGTATGAGCTTGATGGGCTCTGCCAGTAAATGTTAAATGTCTAGGAACTCTGATTTTATTGCATGTGCTGAAGTCCAAAATGTAGACCTATGCTTGTTTATTCTATCCTCCTATTTATTCTGAATAATTTAAAAGTCTACACTTTTGTGACATTTGATTGGCTCTAAAAAAAAGTATTGCCCAATGCTGTACAGTAGAGTCTCGCTTATTTGCTCATCCGACGTTCTGTATTATCCAACACAGTCTGCTTCCTGCCCAGATCCATAGCTGTTCCAATACATTGTGATGTTTTGGTGCCAAATTCTTAAATATAGTAATTCCTACATAATGCTACAGTGTATTGAACTGCTTTTTCTGTTGATTTGTTGTAAAACAGTTTGTTTTGTAAACTAATAATGTAACTTGACATTTAATAGGCTTTTCCTTAATCCCTCCTTATTGTCCAACATTTTTTGCTTATCCAACGGCCTGTTTATGTTGGATATGCGAGACTCTAGTGTATTTTGTTTTTTAGTCGTGAACTAACACAGGAACTTTTGTGTTATTTTATTTTTTAAAACTTATTCCAGTTGCATCTATAGATATCTTTTAAAAACAAAAAAACATACAAAAACAAGCAAAACCAGGAAAATTCATAATAAAAACCTATGTTTTTTGCAAGCCTACCACAGGCTTAAGGTGCTTGGGTGATACATCTCACTACACCATTGCCTCCAGAAACACATTTGGGTAGGAATGCAGGAGAGGACTTTCTGTGTGGTGATAATAATGATGATGAAAAGTAGATCGTGGTAACAGTGTGGGCAGACATGAAATGCCTGTTAAAAGAAAGAAGATGTTGGCATATAGGAAAAAAGTTAATATCACATAAACCTGACTAAGAAGATGGATGATCCAAGAGTAGGGGCCTTATCATACACTATTGTTTATCCTGCGTTATTACATTTGAAATCTGCTGAAGCCATTCTCATGAGGGTAGATTGACATTCTCCATCACACTGTTGTTGCTAATAATACCATTCTTTGCTTTATATTAATGGCATTATTACCAATTTCCCCATCCTGCCCCTTACTCCATGATTGGTTCATCTTTTTTTTAATAACCTTGATAGCAATAACATCATAATTGTATTATTATACTGTTGGAATGGCATCATTACAAAGCCCTCTGCTTGGTAGATTTTTAAAAAACATATGGAAAGGTCAAATATGACAAAATTAAATCTACAGATCAATCCAGATGAGTCCTATAAGATTTTAAGGAATTAAAATGCCCAATTTTAATCAATGATTACAATGATTTACCAGTCAGTATTTTTCATGAAGTCTGGAGTAAATTAACTTTCCTGTACAAGTCAAAATGTCAACTAATTTAAAAACATTTGATCCTCCCCGAAACAGTGTCCTGCGAGAATAAAACTGGTGTGAATCTGCAAAGAGAAGAAACCTTCCTGACTCTAAAACATTGAAAGAAATCATAAATGCATTTGCTGCTTACATTTGAAAGCTGCTTTTTCTCTCTCTTCTTGCACAGGGCCAACCAGACAGACAACCACAAAGACAACCACAAAGACAACAAAAGACATAATTAGCAGTGGTAAAAAAAAAAGAACGCTTTCAATGTTTATAGCATTGTATTTGCTACTGAAAAGCTATAGTAGAAACTCTCAAATCATTTTATAACTCTCCACAACCTTAGCGCTTTACAATCAAGTGGCATACTTGTGCTATGTGAGAATGGATAAAACTGCTTTCTACAAACCCATACCTTCGGGACATCTTTCCCAACATGGTCAACTCAAATTAGCAGCAGCTTTGCATGTTGGAACGAAATTCTGTCTCTTCCTTGATACCCTGTAATTTGGGGGTGTTGTGATAAGCAAATGAAATGGGTAAAACTGCATGCTTTGAAGCAGCAAATTCTCTCATAGAATGTAGGGTGCCTATTAGTCATTAATACTGAAATGTCTCATATATAAATTCAACATTAATCTAAAAGAACATGAAATCATAGGAACCGTGGTTTAGTGAGCAACTAAATAGAGGTGTTCTATCACAAATAGATACTAATAATTAGCTGTTAGAATCAAAGAATTATAGATTTGGAAGAGTCCACATCAGACATCCAGCCCAACCCCCTGCCATGCAGGAAAAGCAAAATCAAAGTACCATCCGGCCTCAGTTTAAAAGCCTCCAAGGAAGCTTCCATACTCCGAGGCAAAGTGTTCCACTTTTGAACAACTCTTACAGTCAGGAAGTTCTTCCTAATGATGAGGTAGAATCTCCTTTCCTATAATTTGAAGCCATTGCTTCGAATCCTATTCTCCAAAGTACCAGAAAACCTTTCAAATATTTATACATGGCTATCATGTCTCCTCTCAACCTTCTCTTCTGCAGGCAAAATACCCCCAGTTCTTTAAGATGCCCCTCATAGGGCATGATCTCCAGACCTTTGATCATTTTAGTTGCTCTCCTCTGGACACATTCCAGCTTGTCAGTACATAGTGACCAGAACTGGACACAGTATTCCAGATGAAGTCTAACCAAAAGCAGAATAGAGGGGCACAATTTCTTCCCTTGATCTAGACACTATACTCCTTTTGATGCAGCCCAAAATACCATTGGTTTTTTAAGCTGCTGCATCGCATTGTTGGCTCATGTTCAGTTTGTTGTCCATGAAGACTCCAGGTCTTCTTCACATGTACTGTTGGCAAGCCAGATATCACCCATCCTGTATCTGTGCATTTCTTTTTTTTTTTTCTACCAATATTTCTCCTTATTGGAATTCATTTTCTTAGTTTTGGCCCAGCTCTCTAATCTGTTGAAGTCATTTTGAATTCTGATCTTGTCCTCTGGAGTATTAACAATTCCTCACAATTTGGTGTCATCTGCAAACTTGATAAGTATGCCCTCTAAAACTTCATTTAATTAATATATTGAACAGTACTGGGCCAAACCTTGTGGCACCCCACTAGTCACTTCTTTCCTGGATGTAGAGGAACCATTGGTGAGCACCCTTTGGGTTCCATTGCTTGACCAGTTACAGATCCACCTAACAGTAGTATTGTATAGTCCACATTTTACTAGCTTGTTTGCAAGAAGATCATGGGGGACCTTGTCAAAGACCTTACTGAAATCAAGATATGCTACATCCACAGCATTCCCTGCATCTTCCCAACTCTACTAAAAAGAGATAAGATTAATCTGCCATGACTTGTTTGTGATAAATCCATGTTTACTTTTAGTGATCACAGCATTCTTTTTGAAGTGATTACAGACTGACTTCTTTATCAATTGCCCCAGAATTATTCCTAGTATTGGTGTCAGGCTGACTGGATAGTGATTGTTTGGGTCCTCTTTTATCCCTTATTGAAGAAAGGGACAGTATTTGCCCTCCTCCTGTCTGCTGGGACTTCTGTTCTCCAAGAATACCCAAGGATCATTGTCAGTGGTTCTGAAAGTACTTCTGCTAGCAGTTCCTTCAATACGGATGTAGTTCTTCTTTCCATGGAGACTTGAATTCATTTAGAGTAGACAGGTCTTCCTAGGCTACTACCTTGCCTTGTTGCATTTCTCCTATTGCCTTGTCCAATCCATATTTCTCAGGTTGAGCACTGATTTCCTCTTGGGAGACGACTGAGGCAAAGAAAATGTTCAGTATTTCTTCCTTTTTCCTATTCCTTGTCAGCATTTCCATCCCCTCTTCTGTTTGGTCTATTTCTCTGAAATATCCCTCCATTACTATATTCCAAGAATAGGACTAGTCCCGCCAGGTTTCAGTTATGCCTGTTACTTTGTAACTGTTTTGTTGTGCTAAAAGTTCACCTTATTTATTTCCAGTGCTTTGGACATTTGTGTAGAGACATCTAAACTCATGGGACATCCCCCCAGCTGTTTATTTGTGATTATTATTCTCTTTCTGCTTTGTACTTGTTCTGTTTGTCCAACCCTCTCTTTGGTCTTTGGGCTGTTCCTTTCAGGCCTTGATAAATGACAGTTTATCAAGATAAACCAAGAGAAAAAATAAATTGATTGTATCAGTCATTACTTCCTCTACCCTATTACTAGGTACTACTATTCAGCCAAATGGTGATAAGAAAACCGAGTCATCAGGTGAGTTATCACTGGTCTGCTATTGAGGCTTACATGTTAGGATGCAAACTAATTTTCTTTGGAACAATCTCAATGATTTTCCATGGTGAAACCTCATTTTAGAAGTTGGCATCCTGCTTTACTTTCATTTTCCATTACCGTACAGGCTTGAATGCTGAAAGTGCTTACTGTGTTTGCAGAATGTCATTTTCCTTTTGAACAGCAGATGACGATGCTGTATCACAAACTGCATTTGATTCTGCCTTTACTTTGGTAAGAGGCCTGACATGAGAAGCACCTTGAGAAACACAAATCAATCCAGAAGTCCCCACCAACACATGAAACCAACCTTCTGAAGATTCATCAATATAAGCTCATTGGATTTTAATGTTTTTAACCTGATGTGTTCACCATCATTGCATCTAAAATGTATCTATATTTAAAATCACTTTTAGAGTGGATGTGAAAGCTCTATTGTGAGGGTTCTTCCTCTTCCTCTTGTTCTTCATCCTCCTCTTTTTTAGACAGTGGATCCTTGACACACACTAGATACCAACATTCAGTTGTATACACTAGGCCTGTTTGATCAAGAAAAAATTTGTTTCTAAAATCGTTTTGTAATTGGGGTGTTTTTTTGTTTCGATATTTAAAATAATTACAAAACTTTCCCAAAAAAAGTTTTGGTATTTACAAAATTTTGTAAATATTAACGAATTTTTAGAATATTTTTTATTAGAATAATATTAAAAAATAATATTAAAAAATAATATTAAAAATAATATTAAAAAATAATATTAAAAAATATTTTAAAATGGAAAACGAAACCGCACAGGCCTACTATACAGACATAGCGGGTTTGAGTCAGACCCAGCTAACACCTCCCAACAAGGATTCCCCTGAGCAGGAAGGAGCCAGACTTTGAAGCTACAAGGCCATTTAATCCCAATCAAGCTGTCCAATGGCAATACTTGCCTCCAACAGACAAGAGTTCTTTCTCCCACCCTGGACCTTCTACAGCCAGGCTTTGAAGCTGCGAGGCCATTCAATGCTAATCAAGGTGGCCAATGGCAGCATTCACAATTGCCTCCAACAGACAAGGGTTCTTTCTCCCACCCTGGACGTTATTTCACAGGGATATAAACCCTACTTGCCTAGTTTCCAACAAACCTCTGAGGATGCCTGCTATAAGATATGAGAGAAACGTCAGGAGAGAATGCTCCTGAATCCTCCTCCACATGCGGCTGCATAGTGAGTGAAGTACTGTATAATAGCGCTGCATCAGGGGCGGCTGAAGCAACTTACGTGCCAAATCCCTGGCTGTGGGCTGCTTGGCTTGCTTGCTCGCTTCTCCAAGCGGGCGAAAGGAGAGGGAGAGAGAAAAACAGTGTGCTGCTGCCTGTCTCTTTAAGGAAGGAGCACATGGAGCCCTCGGCTGCCGGTTTGGCGGAGGGAGGGAGGCAGGCGCGCGCTTGGTTGCTCTGGGTTTAGCTGAGGAGAAAAAAAGAGCAACCAAGCGCGCGCCTGCCTCCCTCCCTCCGCCAAACTGGCAGCCGAGGGCTCCATGTGCTCCTTCCTTAAAGAGACAGGCAGCAGCACACTGTTTTTCTCTCTCCCTCTCCTTTCGCCCGCTTGGAGAAGCGAGCAAGCAAGCCAAGCAGCCCACAGCCAGGGATTTGGCACGTAAGTTGCTTCAGCCGCCCCTGATGCAGCGCTATTATAATACAGTACTTCACTCACTATGCAGCCGCATGTGGAGGAGGAGGAGTGTTGGAAAACGGGGGGAGAGGGGAAAGAGGGCGGGGAGAGCAGCCCAGGCCGAGAAAGAGGGGAATGGCACCAGCACTCCAGCAGCCTCCATCCCATTAACGAAACGAGCGGAAGCTCGTTAAATTTATGGGGGCTGCCGGTTCGATATTTTTAAACCCTTCCGGGTTTGAAAATGTGTTTTGATATCGCTTCAAAAATGCAAAAATAACGAATTAATAACGAAATAACGAAATAACGAACTAAATTGCACAGGCCTAGTATACACTGATGTATATATTATACACCTGATGCTGAAGTCCCAATATTATACAATGATCTAGTAAAATATTATCATTTATATAAAAAAAACAAAATCAAGGTTTTCTTTGTGGATTTTTTAAAAAATCCAAGTTATATATGGTTGAATTCATGGATGCAGAATATGAATATGGATAGTCCACTGTATTATGTTGCTATGGTCCTTTGTTACTGTTTGGGTTTAACATATTTTTTTTACTATCCATGAAGACTTTTTTTTCTCTGTGAATTTTTAGTGCTGTTTGTGTTTAATTCTGTTTTAATGTTTGTATATTTTAAATTGTATAGTAATGCTTCTGTTAAGCCACTTGAGTCCCCTTTGGGGAAATAAAGCAGAATAATAATAATAATAATAATAATAATAATAATAATAATAATAATTTATCCAAGCAAATCTTTCATAAAGCCCAAATCAGCTAAAATAAGCTCACTCTTTTATGCAGGACCTACACGGAAACCAAGTGGAACAACTAATAAACCAGACCCAGGTAAGCTAGATAACAGTGACAGTGGGAACAAGCAAATGATATTCTAATAGGCAAGACAGGGCTTTTTAAATGTGTGGCCTATGGTTAAAAATGGGAACATATATTCTGTGTCCTTGTGAAGCAAATGAGAGGCAGGAACAATCCTCACACTTACGTCTTTTTATGAATGATTGAGGCATATTTCATTTTTCCAGCCCTGTTGAACAGAATAGTTGGAAGGGAACAGGTTGAGGAAGACAGTATCTTTTATTATACTATCCTGGTATTCAACCTCCTTCTATAATCTTGCCTAACCTTCCTTGTATACCAGGAGAGGGAAAACTTCACAATAGTGGCGTATTACTGCGAAATTATGCCTTTGAAATATTTGTAATTGTAAACCTCAGAATCCCCAAACTAACATTGCCATGGGTCATTCGAAGAGTAAGTGCCACAAAAGTAAAATTTTCCAAATTCTCGTGGGCACACATACCACTATCAAAGCTTCTCCTAACTTCTTTCTTGCCCTTTATATGGAGGATGACAGTAGGGGGCATTTCTTGTTTACAAATATCAGGGTATATCTTGACAGTTCTTTACACCATAAAGTTCAACTTGCATAATCTCTGTTATATTACTTATTTACTTAAGTGATCCCTCGTCGTCCAAGTATTATGGTCTTCTAGGTGTAGTGTCTTGGCATGGATATGTAGGTGACTGTGGAGCCCAATTCTTGATCCGCATATAACATGCTATGTGATACACACACACCATAACAATTTGACAGGGTCAGTCCCAAATTGTCTTGGTGTCCTTATATGTGATGTGTTGGAGGGAATATGGCTGGTTGGCTATCAGTTCACAGAATTCCTAAACCAGAGTTTAAATTAAGTTTAGCATCATGGATCACCCCAATCCATACATTTCAGACTGCAATTCTTCCCACTTACTTGGATTAAATCTCACTGAACTAAATGGCATTTCTTTCTTCATATCTGTAATGCTTATTAACATGTTAATGGTTTCCTGGCCTTCAGAGGAAGGAAAAGGCTCTATAGCAGAGGAAGCCTGTTTCAAGTTACAAATGTTGATCTCATACAAACAAACCATTCATGCTGTGCTGCTTGGCTTTTCCCCATGTATAAAAAGGGGGGGGGGGTCCGAAATGGCACAAATTTTTTGAAAAAGGTGTTAACAAGTGTAATTCTGTTTTCGAACCAAATGTTTTTGAACCAAAATATGACCATATTCATCTTTTTAATAAACCATATCTTGAATTTGGGAGTACATCTTTGTTCTCATGAGGAAAACTTGAATGCCATTGCAAGAAAGCTATTCTTTGGTTCCAATTTCGTGGCAGGTATTTATCTGGATCATCTCCAAACAAGAGATAAGGGTGCAAATTATCTAGTTTTGGGAGGCTCAGTTTTGGATGGAAGGATGAGCTGTGTGCTAATCTCAGTGCATCTAGGAGAGCAGCAACTTGCTACAATTTGAAATGCTTAGCTTATGTTATGTATTATTTACTTAGTTAGCTTGTTCCTTCTTTCTGTTATGTGTCGATTTCTGGTTAGAAGCAAGTAGACTAGATTAAATGTTCCTTAATAGATGCAAGGAACAGTCTTGGGATTTTATCATTTACCTATTTCTCTTAATTTCTGGAAAGGAAAATGTATTCTCTCTGTATATATGTGTATTAGGGCTGGGCGGTTTCGTTTCGTTAATTCGTAATTCGTTAAAAATTTGTTATTTTTTTTATAACGAAGTGATAACGAAACATTCTGGAGCAACTTAAAAACGAAACGAATTTTTAAATTCGTTTCGTAAATGCTTCGGATTCGTTATGTATTCGTTTCGTTATCGGTTTGAGGTCGTTTCGTTATTATTTCCGCATGTCTGGGGCAAGTTTTATAGTTGTTTTTTGTTTAATTAGTGAAAAAAAATTATAATATCACACCAAGAGTCAACAACAGAGGGAGAGGGAAGCTTCAAAAGTTCCCCCTGTCCCATTTGGAGGTTTTTTAGCGTATTGCGCCATCGCGTCAGCCATTAACGAATCGATTCGTTATTGTTTCGTATTTGTTTCGTTAATGTTTCGTAATTTTTTTAACATTTACAAAATTTCGTAAATATCGAACTTTTTAAAAGAAAAATTTCGGAATTCTTTTAAATATCGAAACGCAAAAACCCCCAAAAAACTAATCGATTTTAGAAACAAATTTTTCCGTTGTTACCCAGGCCTAATGTGTATACTCATTTGTGAGATGGAGGTTGCATCAATACACTACATTTAATGCAGTTTGACATCTCATTAATGGCAATGACTTCATGCTATGGAATCATGCTAATGGTAGTTCGGCAAGGCACCAGCACTTGGAAGGGAAGGCTAAAGACCTTGGAAAATGCAACTCTCAGGCTTTCATAGCACTGAGTCATGACAGTTAAAGTGGTGCCAAACTGCATTAATCCTACAGTGTAAATGTATCTGGAGGGGGGGGAGAGAAAGGGAGCACTAATTTAGTTGATACATAATTTCTCACGCTTAATGACATGGCCATGAGCAATCCTTAGGCCTCAGGTTTTGGCTCAGAAACCTTGGGACCTGGGACAAACCTGAGCTGGCACCCCTAAGGGTGCTCCTTGTTACTTAAAACTTGAATCCTATCTTCTCATTTCACTCTTTAGGAAACAACAGTGTGGCAATTGTTGAAGGTAAGTGCAATGTTTCAATATAAACTTTTGTTCTTGTTCTTCAATGCTTGACACTGAAGCCCCCAGTGGTGCAGTGGGTTAAACCCTTGTGCCGGCAGGACTGGTCAACCAACAAAATAGTGGTTCAAATCTGGGGAGCAGGGTAAGCTCCTATCTGTCAAACTCTAGCTCCTCATGCGGGGACACAAGCGAAGTCTCCCACAGGATGATAAAACATCAATCATCTGGGCGTCTCCTGAGGAACATCCTTGCAGACAGCCAATTCTCTCACACTAGAAGCAACTTGCAGTTTCTCAAGTTGCTTCTGACATGGAAAAGACAGCGCTTACTGGATTACTTTCTAATTTTAACTATTTTAACATTCACATTTCATTAACAAAATCTCTGGTCATTGTTACTTGATTGATTAACATTTGGAAAGATCAAATTCTGTTACCTTCCCATAACAGAAAAGCAAGGGTGTTTCACCTCATTCATGTAAATGTTAGGAGCAAGTTATGGAATGGGATATATGTGTATTATTTTCTTTTTCTCAAAAAAATAAATAAAAGAAAGTTATTTCTGAAATTCTTTAACATTAATTATATGCAGGTGATTTAAAACATCCGGGTTTTTTTTCCACAGGAAAACTGACGATTATTCTGGTCCTCCTGGTTCTTATGGTCTAGTGTTGCGCAAAGAAAATAATGGAAGAAAAATGAACCGATATCAAATTTCTGCAGTAAAGCATTCTAACTTCTTCCTCCAATAGTGAAACACAAAACTACAAAAGAAACAAATCAATGTTAAAATAAAGACATTTATTTTAAAAGAGAAAACAATATCTGGCCATCTACAGTGTGGCTTGACAATGGGGCCTTAGCTATCCCAAATGTATATCCTGACCATTTCAAGCCAGAGGAATCAAAAGGAAGACCTCTATGTTGTTGGACTGCAGCTCCCATCAGTACTAGCTGCCATAGTTAATAATGAAGAATGCTGGAAGCTGCAGTCCTGAAACATCAAGATAACTGAATTACAGATCCTATATCCTTGAGGCAAGTGTTCCATAGTACAATAATTGTAAGAATTTTGTTTATATCTTGTTAATGTTTTGTCACAATGTATTATACTTGTTTTCTTATGTATTTAAATAACTTATTTTGATTTACATAATTGTTGAAAAGCAGTATGCAAATAAAATTAACTATTACTATGCAAATCAGAATGATCCCTAACATTTTATTCCTCCATTTTTAGCACTGTTCAACAAATGTACTGAATCACTTCAAACATTGATAGGCATTCAGCAAGTCCATGGCTTCCCATTTCAATAGAAGAATTCAGCTAAAAGATGCAAATAATGTTAGAAATTACTTGAAAAATAGTTGAACAAAGTTTCTTGAGTGCCGGGAAACCCTAATGAAAAGAATTCTGCACTAAAAAGAGTATTTGAAGTTTAGAACTCATTCTGTGCAAAATTAACATGCATTTTCTGTACAGAAATGTTGCTATACGACCTCTCTGCAAACAGTTTTTTGAATCTCACCAAGAGAAGAAAATTGATGCACATAATGTTTGCTTCTTTAGGGACCAAAATTCACAAAGTCCATGCCTTGTCCAGCTACCACACTCTCCCTAGGAAGAGGTATCTGATAGTTTGATTTTCAGTGTACACCAGTTTAAAATAGACAGGCTATGATTCGTCCCAGCTCATAATCTAGCTAGCAGCTAGTAGGCACTTTGGTTCTACAATGCCAAATCAAAAATCATCATACCACAAAAAGTAAAATGATGGCCTCAAGACTAAAAGAATATTCAAAATCATGAAGACCAAACACAATAGAATGATCCTAACTATCTGCCTAAATGCCATCAGGGAAATCTTGCTTCTTTGGGGAAGAAATTCCATAATAGTCATTTTAAAAAACCTGAACAGTTTTCATCCCTCCCAGCCCCTCCCTCCAACGTACCTTTTAAGATTGGCTTCTAACTCCAGGTAAAGAGGGAGATGTTTGCCCATTGATTAAGCCATTGATTAATGGGCTCAATTCCAATTAACCTAAAGGAGGCTGTAGTAAAACCTTTATTAAAGAAACCAGCGATGGATCCCACTCATTTAAATAACTACCGGCCAGTCTCAAATCTCCCCTTTTGGGTCAAGTTTCTAGAGAGGGTGGTGGTCTCTCAGCTTCAAAGATTCTTGGAAGAAACTGATTATCTGGCTCTATTTCAATCTAGTTTCAGACTAGGTTACAGAACTGAAATCACATTGTTGGTTCTCCTGGACCTTTCAGTGACATTTGATACCATTAACCATAGTATCCTTTTGGGATCCAGTTTGTGCTGGATGAAGTTACAATCCCCCTGAAGGCACAGGATCGCAGCTTTGGAGTGATCCTGGATTCAACTGATCCTGGAGCCTCAGGTCTCAACAGTGGCCAGGATTGCCTTTGCACAGTTACAACTCGTGTGCCACATACCTTGAGACGCCAGATCTGGCCACAGAAGTAGATGCCCTAGTTACATCTCCATTGGATTACTGCAACGTGCTCTACATGTGGCTGCCTTTAAAGAGCGCTCGAAAGCTTCAACTGGTCCAGAGATTTGCGGACAGGTTACAAACTGGAGCGCCGTACAATCATGTTATGGCAGCTCCACTGGCTACTGGTTTGCTACCGGGTGAAATTTAAAGTGCTGGTTGTTAACTTTAAAGCTCTAAACGATTCATGTCCAGACTACCTGACCACCTGCCTCATATGAACTTGCCCGGTCACTGTGTTCATCAAGTGAGACCCTCCTATCAATCCCACAGCTGTCCCAAATCCAGCAGGTGGAGACGAGAGAGGGCCTTTTCTGTAGTCACCCCGCCTCTGGAACTCTCTCCCAAGGGAGATTAAAATGGCCCCCACACTCTCCTCTTTCAGGAAACAATAAAAATGTACCTATGCTCCCAGGCTTATGGAGAATCAAATGTTTGAATATCTGGCCCCCACACAATGAATGGTTTATCGACTGGACTTTGAAGACAGATATGACTTTTAATTTATTATTCTGGGTTTTTAATCCTGTTTTAAACACTGCAAGTTGTGTTTCATTGATTGCTATTATGTCTTAGTTATGATGAATTGTTTTATTATTATTTGCTTTTGATTTATTGTGAATTTGTATTTTTGTGTATTTGTGTGGCATCGAATGGCTGCCATCCAAGTTGTTAGCCGCCCCGAGTTCCTAAGGGGAGATGGGGAAGGAAACAAATAAACTTGATGTGACCAAGATCTCTAGTAGCACTTTTAGGTTTCTCTCCCACTTTTGCCAATCCGTTGATTTGTTTGCAATCTGGACTGCCTCCATTCCAGAAAGATGTATGTTTAGCCAAGGAGTTTTGATCTAAGATAAGAAGGCTGTTTCTCAATACTTGGAACAAGTATTCTGCAGCTATCACAAAACTCAAAGTACTGTATGTTTGAAATTAGGGTGGGGTTTGAATTTCACAGTTTAGAAACTATTTTTGAAAAGCGCTCAGTTACAGGTGTAGCCCCAAAGCCCCAAAAGGAAATTATATTTAAAAATTAAAAATACTGTATATTACTTTCCCACTGAGTACATTGAAGAACAAAACCAGAGCAATGTAGTGGTTTAAGTGTTGGACAGGAACTCCAGGGTGCCAACTAGGGTTCAAATCATCATCTGACCATGGAAACCCATTGGATGCTCCTGGGCAGATCACACTCTCTCAGCTTCAACAGAAGGCAATAGCAAACCTCCTCAGATGAAATCTTGCCAAGAAAATACCATTATAGGGAGACAAATAAAAGAATACCGGCTTCATGGTGAGGAGCAGGAAAAGGTCCTTTTACCTGGAACCCAGCACATCAAAAGTTCCACTACAGCAGGCCCTCAATAGAGTATTCAGTCAGATAAAGTTTCTCAAACTTTGGTCCTTCAACTGGTTTTGGACTTCAGCTCCCAGAACCCCTGAGTACTGGGCCAAGCAGACCAAGGTTTCTGGGAGCTGAAGTTCAAGTAATCCAGAGCATAAGAGTTGGAGAACAACTACTCTAAATTTATAAAACTAAGAGCCAGTCTCGATAAAATAGTGAAGAGTAGAGACATCAGACTGGCAACAAAGATCCGCCTAGTCAAAGCCACGGTATTCCCTGTAGTAACCTACGGATGTGAGAGCTGGACCTTAGGGAAGGCTGAGCGAAGGAAGATCGATGCTTTTGAGCTGTGGTGTTGGAGGAAAGTGCTGAGAGTGCCTTGGACTGCGAGAAGATCCAACCAGTCCATCCTCCAGGAAATAAAGCCCGACTGCTCACTGGAGGGAAAGATACTAGAGACAAAGTTGAAGTACTTTGGCCACATCATGAGGAGACAGGAAAGCCTAGAGAAGACAATTATGCTGGGGAAAGTGGAAGGCAAAAGGAAGAGGGGCCGACCAAGGGCAAGATGGATGGATGGCATCCTTGAAGTGACTGGACTGACCTTGAGGGAGCTGGGGGTGGTAACGGCCGACAGGGAGCTCTGGCGTAGGCTGGTCCATGAGGTCACGAAGAGTCGGAGACGACTGAACGAATGAACAACAACAAAGAGCCAAACATTCTTTGTGCTGCTGCCTTGGTGTAGAAGGAACAAACGCACGGGCCTTTAAAGCATGCTCTGTTTTGGGAGCAGGGTGTATTTCCAAATCATCTGTTGGACTGTGAAACCCAGTTTAGTTATAAGCTGATCTTAAAGGCAGCAGTGAAATCAGAAATGGGAGAGATAAGCCCATTTCTTTATTCCTTGTCAGGTCACCTATAGCTTAATCAAGAAAACATTTCTCTCTCACACACACACCTTGATATAAAAGACATGCAAATAACATTGAGTCACTGATTAACATATGATATTATGCTACAGAATTTTGCCAATCATTTCCCCAATGCTATATTCCTCTCTTTTTCTATCTCTTGTAAATTGAGCTTGCATTCTCTGCTATGTGGTACCAATTTAGTGGATGCAAATGGCATGTCTGCTAGAAGAAAGGAGAACACTCACAACTGAGCTGTTTACCAATGCGGTTTACCAACCAAAGCTAAATATGTTTTCCTAGAGTTCCACTTTTATTATGACATATAAAATAGATGACATCAAAATAGGAACTCTGACTCTGAACTTTGCTCCACCAACTAATAATTTGTGGCAATCTTAAATTTATTTGGAGTTTAAGTTTTATGGCAAGTTTTACAAAGTAGGATCATGAGTACATACAGTATACGCTTAGAGCGCCTCACCCATACATACACACAGGTTAGGGTAAAGTTTAGAAATTCTACACTGCATACTGTCATTTTGTGATTACAACCTTTCTTCTCTGACAATCCTCCCCAGTTCATGGGTGGAGTTATTTATACAGTCTGACATTAGCAAAATTTAGATAGCTGTTGTTTTAAAGACTTATTTCCTGTACTGCATAATATTAAGCATGCTGAGTCACAGGATGAGAATACTGTTTTGTTTCCTCACCCACCCTGCTGTCTGCCACTTTGGATGAACTATCCATGTTTATAACTTGGAATCTGGCAGGGACTGGGGCAGGAGATGGGGAAAAAAACGCAGAACTTTAGGAACTTACTAGAAATGTGCAAGGGATATGGCAGAGCTTTCCAAACTGTATGTCACAACACATTATTGTGTTGCCTGCAGTGTGTAGGTGTGTTGCATGAATGTAAGGAGAAACTTCTGAGCCTATGTGAAGAAATAATAATAATAATAATAATAATAATAATAATAATAATAATAATTTGTTGGGGAATCTGAGCTGTTAGGCTCAAAAATAACTCTCAGTCGGGGTGATTCCACCATAAAATACAGCAGAGTACCATAACCAGCAGAAACTTGTGGTGAAACTGGGATAAGATTCTTTTCTTAAGATGGCAAAGGATTACAGGATCAGAACTTTAGGTTCCAAAATATTTATTGAAGTAAAAAAATACATTCTAGATCAGGGGTCCCCAAACGTTTTGAACAGAGGGTCGGGTCACAGTCCCGCAAACTGTTGGGGGGGGGGGGGGGGGGGGGGCGGATTATAATTTGAAAAAAAACATGAATGAATTCCTATGCACTCTGCACATATCTTATTTGCAGTGCAAACCAAACAAAAAAACCCAAAAACCCACACTTCTATATAAATAAAAAT